CTGCGGCCCAGCCTCCGGGGGAGGGCGAGGAAGGGGGGAGCAGCTCCAGCAGCCACACGCCAAAGAAAGGCTTTTGTGGGGGGTCATTATTATTATTATTATTATTATTTACTCCTTGATTTCAGCCTGCGGTTCACGAAGCTTCTGGGGCCGGCTTAAGGATTTAATTTTTTGGGGGGGCCCCCACGGGGACTGGCTCAGAGCAGACCCAGGGCTGGGGGACGGGGGGGGTCGCAGCCCATCTCGCAATAAGTCCCATTTATGTAACGCTCCGGGTTAGGTTAGGCTTTATTATTTTTATTCCCCCCTCTTTCCGCGATAGATCTGTTTATGGTTTTTTCTTCCTTATTTTTATTCTTGGCCCTTTACAGGGTGGCGAATCCTTTTTCTCTCTGTCTGGAGTGTGGGTGGCGTTGGGGAAAAAAAAAAAAATCATTGGGAATTTGGTTCTAGGATTGTTTTATTAATAGTTTTTGTTTACAAGGTGTGCCGAGAGGGGGTAGAAATGACAAGAGTGGCCGAAACGTTTTTCGGCTCTGTTGACTGAACGTGCCTGACCTCCCTCAGCGGGGCTCGGGTCTGGTGGCTCTAACTTGCCGTGTCCAGGGGTCGAGAAACGGGTCCGATTTAGTTCCCAGAGAGAGATAAACAAACTTACTTGGATTTTGTGGGTATTTTTTTTTTTGGAGGGGGGGGAGGGAGGAGCGGCACCGCTCCTGTTTGTGGCGTGAGGGTGGCTTATCGAAGGAAACTTCTGTTTGACGTTCAGCCTGCGCGTTTCTCTCTACCAAGCTGCTCTTCGTATATTTTTTTTTTTTCGCCTTGTTTTTAAGCAAATAGGAAATGACTACCGATCGTGCTTGAATCTGAGCTATTTTTATCCGGGGGTTTAAAGTTACACACATGTCATACTCTGCCGAACGCCAATTGCGATCGATGCTTAATCGCACCGGGAGGAAGGTTGGGAATTCCAGCTGTTTAATGTGGGGGGAGAAAAAAAAACCCAAAAAATCTTCCTTAGGGATAGTCTGGAAAGAGGTCTGGGCCGGAGAGGGGCCGAGGCCCAACCTGATCTGCTGCTGCTCTCCTTTCCCCTCCCCCTCTCTCTCCTTTTTTTTTTTTTTCTTTTTTTTTTTTCTCTCCCCTTTTTGTTCGATTCGTAGCCAGCATCTCCAGCGATCGCAGCATTTTAGGAGACAAAGAGCAGGTTTTTCTGAAGTGGCTTCGCTCGCTCTGTATTTCTAGCGGCGGCCGGGCCAAGCGGTGGTAGGTAGAAAGCCCCGAATATCTAGCATTCCTCCCGACGCTGGGTAGTTTCCGCTCTGCTCTTTTTCTCCCCCCCGACAAAAGAAACCCAAGGCTTTTCCAAAAGCGAAGCTGCTGTTATTGTCGGCGCAGCCTTCCCCGGTG